AACAGAAAACTGATTAAACAGAAGTGTGAGACAGTCAAGAATTTACGCCAGTGACCTGTTATATTTTAGATAGCAAGGAGCAGACGGCCGAGTTTATTAAACTCCACCGAGACAGCGGTGACGCTAATCAGAAGGCTAGACCGTCTAATTTCCCCAGCCGTTTACTTCTGGCCTACCCGACCTTCTGAGGACCCGGCCCATGTAGACCGCGAAGGCCGGGTCCTCAGGAGGATGCAGCCGATGAATTTGGGTGTCTTTCATCAAGTAGCAGCTGGTTCATTTGTGCTGCCAGATGCTCATGGAGTGCAGTCAGCTTCTTCAGCCTGTAGGCTTGAACCATATCGGGGCCTGGTGCTGTCCAACTCTTCATACATTGGTTCATTGGTTACTGGACCCTGTTCAGGGAAGTTGCAGTGGTCTGCTCTCAGATCCACTAACCACTGAGCATTGCTGTTATGGATTGTGTCTTTCTCCCATATACACTAAGTGACACTTGTTGCACACTCCCTCAGCATCTTTCATACTCTGACACGTGCCTTTTGCTCTTGTTCAATCTGTATTCAGAAGAACAACAAGCAAGCCACTCTTACCTGTCACTGGACCTTTTTGAGTTTTGGAATTGAAAACAGCGATCTTCACTGGTGGGGAGGTGAAACGACCTGGTAAATATGCTCCCGAAGGCCGTTATGGCGCTACCGGCAGAGGATGACAGCTATGTCAGTGTTAGCACGCTGAACGCTATACTGGAACAGCAACAGGAGTTTTATAAAGATCTGATTCACCAACAGCAAGATAACTTTAAGATATTTGTCCAATTAATCATGGATGAAACTAACAAAAGGTTGGACAGCATTTAGCATTCATGTACATGAATTAAATCCAGCCTGCAATTCACGGATGGGGTTTTCACTGAGCTGCAAACTGAAGAGAAGTGCATTAAAAGCAAGCTAAAAGAGTTTGAATCGGCAGTCCGTAGCATACATGAGGAACGCAAAGAATCAACAACCA